TGGCAACCCTTGTCAGGACCAAAGATCCCAAGTCCAGTACAGTTTGATTTTCTTTATAAAATGTTTACCCTTCTCAGGGAATTTCTTGAATTAATTGGGAAATATTTTCACTTACTTTCTCCGTGACCTCGGCATTTTCCGGTTTGACCTCAGCGTGTATGGGTTGGGCGTTATTAGTCACGATGTCAAGGGCACCGACCGCGTCCCTCTTGCGTCTCTTAAAACTGGAGAGCTGTTGAATGTTTCAAGGAGTGAGACTAGGATGAGTGTTGTTGAGGCACTGTTATATTGTGGATTATCTGTCATTGCAATGCTCAAATAAAATGTGGTGAAGATTTATTTTTTTCTATTTACTTGTAACATATTATAGTAAATATGTAAAATCTTTTATGTCGCTCTTAGTATGGCACAAACTTCCTATCATTTTTGGTAAGGTTTTATGTATAGTACTTCACATGTGGACTTCCAAGGACACTCAAAAATAATTTTAGTTTTTCAGAGATGTAAGTAAGTTTTCACGTGATGATTTCCGTTCCAGTAAATAGTTTTTGTGGTGATCACGGGATTTGAACTCACGTTGCTAGAGTAGTATTATCTATTGAATTTGAGATGTCCGTGTGCTGCGGTATTAATCATAAGGTAGACTGTTAGATCGTATATCACTCATGCATCGTACACACACATATATATTAAAGTGTGTGTAATTAAGTACTCGAAATATTTTTTTTCTTTATATATTCATGTTTCCAATTCCATGTAACCACCGAGGAATTGGAAATTAACTATTTAATACGTGCCAGCGGAATTCGAACCCAGATTTCTATTAAGCTTACAACGAGCGCATAATTCCTAAACTAGCACAACTCAATATTAAATGGTATAATACTTTTTTTAAGTATTGTATGTTGTTATCAATAATTAAACATGATTAGATTGATGTGATCTTTAGGCAAAAATCAAAGAATAAACAATTATGGCTTACTTCGCCATTTTATTGTACCTAATAACACCCTATATAAACTATACTGTAAAAATGTAGTTCTACCTAAAATGAGACAAAAGGAAACCTAAATTTCAACCATTCGGGTTGATACTCCGCCTACAGTCGTCAAATTACGTATAATTTCCACGCCGCTTTTGCGCCCAGTAATTGATTTTTGTCTTACTTATGAATAAAACTCGTTTTCGTATGCTCGCTCCGTGCGATAATTTTATATACGGGTTGCATTAATTAAACGTAATGACCGAGATTACTTTTTGTATGACGAGGCGTCAAATTGAAGATATTAATACTTTTTTATTTTGATGTTATACCACTACGAAAATAATCGAAATAAAAGTTGCGAGATAAGATATAGGTATAATTTTTTGTATTTAAAATTGATGTAACGAGTTATAATACTGCAATTAAAATGCAGAATAGGGATAGGGTATGCCCTAGATGGAAGTTTATCGACCAAAGTGGCGACTGAAGATGGACCAAATTAGAAGTACCCTGAACCGACTAGCATTTAACCGCGTAGAGGCTTTGTAAGCGACTAGCGTGTATAAACCGGGTTATTTTTCAAAGAGTAGCCAAATTTTAAACTTAAGTTCAAGTATATAAATAATGATACAACGTTTTTGCAGTTTTTGAAAATACGAGCAAATAGGGCTTCTACTTTTATTTGAAATCATTCCGAATTGAATGTGATTTATGGGAAACAATGCTTTTGCATATCGACCGACCTCTACGAATGTGTGAGTGCGCAGTAAAACCTCGCATTTTGAATTTAAAAGATAAAACGGACAGAATTTTCGAAACTTTTTAATTAATTCTTCTTTACTATATGCTTATATTACATATTCTAAACCTTCTCTGCAAATTTCACCGGTTATTGCAAAATAACCCTGTATATCAATGTCAAAAATGTGAGAAAGAGAGAGGTGTGTCAGGATCGTGACAAATCTTAGCAACATTGTACGGAGTATTACCATGATGCAGCTATATTACCTATGAATGTAATGGTTCAGCTAGATCGAGGAGGTAAAGAAATGTATACAACTGTAATTAAAAACCGGGTCTAAGGCAGCTGTTACATTTTCATATGATCATTTCTCCTTCTTTTAAAAATATAAGATATAAGATTTATAGAAATATGAGAAAACTATGTCAATTTAGTTTGTACATGTGACTCATGTCTTTTTATGTATAAAATAAGGATGCCAAACGAACACACAATCCACCTGATGGTAATATTATACTGTAGCCTATAAATATCTTTATCAATCCTCGATTAAGAATCAAAATGCAGGTGTGTTGTCGCCCCTTAGGACTAAGATGAAATACGTAATTTCCAGTTACCTTTTAACTGGAAATTAGGTATTTCATTTCTCTACACTCACACGGTACTCAGTGAGTGTGGTCCTTCCTTGGTCAAGCTGACCCATTAGTGCAACAACTAAATATAGCTATAGCGTGGCTCTACCATATCCAAATGTTCCACAATGTACAAAGTGAACTTTAATAGTTTTCTCACATTTTTATTAATCATATCGTAAGCTATAATCAATATACATTATAATAATGTCCTCCAGACCTAATTTCGGCCACGGCGGCCGGCTTCAACGAAGAGTAGCCATCGCAAGACAGGATTATAGTTCCCAAGTTTATGCGCAAGCACAGGTGCACTCCCTATTTCCTCACTCCCATAATCCGATGGGACGGTAAACCGACACAACCGGAAAGAGATCAGGCACAGATGTATAGACCAACGGCTATACGTGCTGGCCTAGGCACGGGGGGAGACACCGCCAACTTCCTGACTCCGGGCAGCTACTGAAAATTTCTTGACGGATAAAGTCAATAATTGATTTTTAGGCCCAACCGGGATTCGAACCCAGGACATCATGAACCAGCAGTTACACATATGATAAATAGTAATAGCGGTGTAATTCATTACGTCTTCGTTTTTTGTAATTTTTCAATCATATTTTTATAGATTTTAAGTGCCTTATAATTATGAATATATCAATTGTAATTAATATGTATAGTTATGAATATACTAGTTACAATTAATATCAGATAATAATTATCGCAATACCTTACTAGCACTTACATAGTCATTGTCAAATCCGGATGCAACGCAACAAAACGTAATAATCAAAAAGTTGATTTTCATTTCTCACATTTTCCCCACAAACTGATTTATTGTTTCTACACGTATTGCAAATAATAAAATAAAAAAGAAATAAAGTATATCGATAACCAAATACAATTTTTAAAACAAACATACTTCATGTAATAAAAATACTTCGTTTAATATACAAGTTTTAAAAGTTTACAGAGAAGAATGGAGAAATGATTTAGATTTATTTAAACTTACACCAACTTACTCCTTTTCTGTACTAAATTAAAAAAATGTTAAAGCTATTATTAATATTTTTAATCAATGTTGCACATGGACATCAGAATGTAAGTATGATAACAAATATACTTATTGGCCTTAAAAGGCGGAGAAGAGGTGGTTAAACACTAGGACTACGTAAATATAACTAAAATTTCATTGAGAATGTCAGAAATTACATACCTTTCTTTATTATTATTATTGAATCTTAATCCTTTATAAATAACCATCCTTGGACCCCAAATTATACTTAATCGCGTCTTTTGACAAATGCGATTTCATCCCCTGGCAATTACGGACGGCTACTAATGGCGTATCATATATCATTTCTGAAATGACAGGAAATTTGGTTTGCTTTTTAGTAATTCATCCATCCATCCATTATAGCCTATAAAAAGATAACATAGGCTCCTCCATATTTTTTGGGATATATGCCATAACTGCCACGCTGGGGTGGCAGATTGGCATAGTTTTTTTAGTATTACACCAAGTCAACCATCTCGTACAAATATTTTCAAAAATGCTATCTATTTCACATCGCTCGTTCCATATCGCTATCGTGCGATAGAGAAAGTTGCAAATGTTGAAAGTAATTGCCTACATTTTCTTTTTAAAATACTGTTTCGAGCGATAACGTTTTCAACCCCTAAACTTTTACGAAATGAAACAATTTTAATCTCATTAGATTCAGTATACCTTAATTTAGGTTACTTTTTTAATAATTCCATTTAGTTTAATTAGAAAAAATAAAAATGCTCGAGGAGGTTTTTAAGTCGAAAATAAAAATATTTTGATGCTAATCACTTATATCGTATGCAATATTTCCTTAAAATGAAAACGTACGGACCCAGTTTTTCATTATATCTACAACATTTCCAAATATTATGAAAATTAGACTATGTTTACGGGAGGGAAAACGTTACCGCTTTTTGTTGTTCTTGAGAGGGTTCTAAAGCGGGCACGTCACCGTCTCTGCCCCATATATCATGCCCTTTGTCACAATAAAGCCGCGGTCATTCATATTAAAAAATAAATCAAACATATACTAGGTGCTAGGACTCCATTTCTGCCTAGGAGTAAGTCTGGATATATACCATCCTTTTGCCTATTCCTACCGTTAAATAACAATTCGCACTACTCCGGTCGCTGAAGGATATACATTTTTTATTAACTAGCTTTACGGCTCTGGGTTCTAGCCCTTCTGAGCCTTTGAAGGATATAGAGAGTCAGTATATTTACAGGTGCTATCAGAGGTTATCAGAGACGACAATGCATCTGTAGCTTTCTTTGCTTGAAGTTGGCTTCAGGTGTATATGGACTGCAGTAACCACTTACTATCAGGTGGACTCTTAGTTCTTTTTTACTTGAGTTTAATAAATAAAATATTAACACTCCAATTACAACGGAAATCCAACTAATCTTGCTAGAGACTTGGGTTAACTCTTATCTCCCACTTACTATCAGGTGGATTGTCAGTTTTTTGTTTCTTGATAAAATATTAACACTCCAATTGGAACGGAAATCCAAACTAATCTTGCTCGAAACTTGGGTTAACTCTTATCTCGATTACCTTTTCAGAAATTTCAAAATGATGCCGATTTTCAGTCGGAACTTATGCCACAGGAGTTGAATCCAGCCTTCGTTTCAGACAAGGTAAACTTAAAATTATTTTGACGTAATATGAAAAATATTTTTACACTGTTTTTTCCCATGGCCGACGAAAGTAAGTTATGAACGTGCGGCGGGACAGAGTTTTTGGAATACATGTTACATTTGTATTTGGAGTCTTGAGTGGTGAGAGCTTAAAATGTATTCTAAATGCCACGCTACGCCATGCACCACGCCGGATGCTCTCCACTCAAATATTGTCTACGATACGATCGTATCGTTATTATCGAGAGGTCAATCGACGGATTCGCCTAGGCTGGGCAGCGTTTGGGAAATTATGACACATCTTCTCGTCAGGCACACCTCAATACATGAAAACGAGATTGTACAACCAATGCGTGTTGCCAGTAACGACTTATGGATCTGAACGTGGTCTTTTACTGCTGGTCGTATGAGAATGCTCAAGGTCGCTCGTGAGCTATGGAGAAGGCCATGCTCGGGGTTTTTCTACGAGATAAACTTAGAAATTAGGATATCCGCAGTAGAACCAGATTGATCGACATAGTCTAACGGTTTAGTAAGCTGAAGTGGTATTACGAAGAACCGACAACCGTTGGGATGACTAGTTTCTCGAGAGGCAGCCTCGTACCGGCAGGCGAAGTGTAGAGCGATCCCCCACCAGATGGAGTGACGACCTGGTAAGAAATGCAGAAAATAGATTTGTGGCATTTCTTGAGGGAGGCCTATGTTCAGCAGTGGATTTGTGATGGGCTGTAATGATGATGATGATGATGATGACGACGAAACTTATATTTTGTATTAATTTAATCTACATAAACAATTGAATAAAACTAAATTTACGGATTTTATCGCGTTTATTTAACTGATTTTACTTATTTTTAATTCCCGACGTTTCGGGTGCTTTACAGCACCCATGGTCACGGGGGGGCTGAGATGTGTGTCCCGTGACCATGGGTGCTGTAAAGCACCCGAAACGTCGGAAATTAAAAATAAGCAAAATTAGTTAAATAAACGCGATAAAATCCGTAAATTTAGTTTTATTCAACGTGTAGTGTTCGCGTAAATTTAAGAAATCACTACATAAACAAATTATAACTTTTACTAATAATATTTTAGAGTGAACCATGGAAGGCCATCTTACCTTTAAGGCAACGACGTGACGCAAACATAATCAGCGAGGTAGAAACACCATCGACGATGGCAACAATAAAGTCATACAGCCGCATAATCACGTGTATTGTATTGGCATTTTCGGCTCTTGTTGAAATAACTGTATATCTAATTGAAACATATGCCAGCTGATTCAGAAGAAAAATATTTTGTTAGTTTTTTGTAAATATATACATAATAATAAAGCGGAAGAGTTTTTTTGTTTGTACACGCTAATCTCTAAAACTACCAGTTTGATTGGAAAATTATTTTTCCATATACTTAATAGCGTAGGATAAATATTATAGGCGATCTAGCATTAGTCTCCACCTTTCAGCTAGCCTTAAATATTGATATATTTAAGAAAGTCAAAAGAAATAGAGCCCCCGAAATGATTTAACCACGTTCTACAAAAATATAGAGATCTTTACTCCACCTAAAAAAAATCTGCGATATCATAAGATATTACACGCTACACATACACTAGATACACGCTAGTAATATATAAGTCAATGCAAAAAAGTATTTTGTAACATACAATAAAATGACCAAGATACCGGACATCGACATTTGAAACGACTCTGCCCGAAGCTTCAAAAAAAAATTGACCAATTTCTTTTTACCCTCTCAACACACACTCACTCCTTAGTTTTTTTTTTATGTAAGTTTTGTTTTGTATTCAGTGCCATTGTGGTGTAATGAGCTGCACATTACGGTAAATGTTATGTATACCTGTAATTGGCAAACATATTTAACCATATACATTTGTTATTGTGTTGTTGTTAATGTTTAATATGTTTTGCTGTTGGTGTACCTTATAAATAAATAAATAAATAAATAAATTGTACAAGCCTATGCCCCAGACAGTACAGAGATGAAAGCTATGTCTGTGTGTTATGTATAAAGAATTAGAAAAATGCATATTGCTACGCAGTAAGGGACAAAAACTATGAAGGTTTAATATAGTTGATTTTGTCACTTGATTTTTATCATAATTGCACAATGTCGATATTCATAAAGTTACAATTATATGTGTGTTATATAGGTAAATGTAAGGTGTGTGTTATATTTGCCCCAGATGTATAGGATACATAGTAGTTTAGCTAAAAAACAGGGATTTCAGCTTTTTAAGTATTTGAAGATTATATATATATATATATATATATATATATATATATATATATATAGTATATTTTTTTTTTTATATATTGTTTTTAAATATTCATTCAAGTTTGACACTTTGACTATTTTGACACTTGATGGACGGAATCAGTGTTGCAAGTACTAAAGTTATGTTATGCTGCATGTTTAAGGTGTTGCTGTATAAATATAACTAAATAAATAAAATTCTATCCGTCAGTGTATTTAGATTATTTTGATCTATTAATGCCTTAATAAAAGGTTTGTTTTTATGGATAACATATCATAAAAATATATTTTTATGAGTAGATTTTTTGTTTATTTTCTACTCTGATCTTTTTAAATATTATATGGCCACATTAAAGGTACTTAAATCCTATAGAGTAACTTCAAACAGAACACTTTAAATACTTTTAGACCTAAATATTTTTCGAATGAATTGTTAATAGTTATTCGAAATTCTTTGTTTGTTTTATTGAAATTAATAGCAATATTATTATTTTTGTACAGCTTGGAGAACATTTTGGATATGTCTTTATTGAAAATTAAAAAGTGATTTATTAGCGTTGTTATTAAGCATTACATATTAATCGTTATTCGATCGTTCATCATCAAGACAACTTTATGAAGATATATTGTCGGCTCGACCGGGGCAAGACTACACTCTCTCAGAACACCAACGTAAAATAACAGCTTAATGTTGCTGTGTTTCGTATGGTGGGGGTAGAAAACCGGAGAGAGTCTCCGTTCCTTTACTGAAAACGAGACATTCACCCTTAGTCCTGAGGGGTGACAACACATCTGCATTTGATTCTCAATTAAGAATAAATGTAGATGTCTATGGACCACAGCATCCACTTACTATCAGGCGGATTGCGATAAACTTTGCTCTGCATGTTATTTGCACGAATAGTTTAAGAGATAATAAAAAATTAAAACGATCTAACACTTGACTCGAACGACGCAAAACCGCCCGATGAGAACCGAGAGAAACCAGTAGTGGACGCTTAGTATTAGTTCAAAAGTGAAAATGTTTGACTGATTAGTTCAAAAGTTTTGTGGTACTAAATGATCCTTAATGAATTTACTATACACCTCTTATCCATAAAAAAGCATCATCAGTAGTTTTGGCGCAATCTGCCACGAAATATGAATATTTTTTGTCATTTATTGATTTACCCTAAAAAGAGGAGGGAGAGGATGGATAACTTTGTTCCATATAACGTGCATACGTCGATAGTACGTTAAGTAACATAACATAACATAACATAAACACTCACGCCTGTCACCCAGAGGGGTAGGCAGAGACTACGGACTTCCATTTGGCACGATCCTGACATACCTCTTTCGCCTCCTTTACATCCATATATCTACGCATACATGCTCGTCGGTTAAGGGTACTTCTAACGTGGCCCATTTTCAAAATATCGCCAATTTGGTCGATAAACTTTTTCCTAGGGCGTCCCTTCCCGACTCGGCCATTCACATCCGCCATATAAATTTGCTTAGTCACTCTTTCCTCATTCATTCTTTCTACGTGACCAAACCACCGAAGCATTCCTTTCTTAATCCTGGTCACAACATCATCTTGCATACCACATTTATCTCTTATCACGCAATTTCTCACCCTGTCATTCAGATTACACCCTAGCATATTCCTTAAAGACCGCATTTCTACAGCATTTATTCTACTTTCGTGCTTCTTCTGCCACACCCAGCTTTCACTACCATACATTAAAGTAGGGACTAACACAGCATTATGAATTACCATACGTGCCTGTTTTGACAAATTCTGGTTCTTCATAATAGAGTGTAGTGCCCCATTCACTCTATTTCCTGCATTTACTCGTCGTTCTATATCCCTATCATATCTACCATCCCTGCTAAATACACATCCCAAATACACAAACTCATCCACTTGCTCAATCAACTCTCCTTCTATTCTTATTTTACATACCGTTTTGCTTTCTTCTCTTTCAAAAACCATCACTTTCGTCTTACTTGCGTTCACTTTCATTCCCCTTTCTTTTAATTCCCAGTTCATTAATGTAACCATCATTTGCAACTCTGCCGCCGATGACGCAAGTATGACTTGATCATCGGCATACAAAAGGCATTTGACGGTTAACTCGCCCATTCTTAACCCACATTCTTCATCTTTCAAAGTTTGCAAACACCGGTCCATAAATAGGTTGAACAGCCAAGGGGAAGCCACACAGCCCTGTCTGACACCTTTTTGGATGCCAAACCAGTCCGAGTAGACCCCATTGATCCTGACACAAGCACTAGAGTCCCTATAAAGAGACCTTAATGCCTGTATCAAACCAGCGCTCAACCCATATGAGTTCAGTGTTTGCCATAACACATTCCTGTCCACTCTGTCATAAGCCTTTTCCAAGTCCATGAACGCACAAAAAACTTTCTGGTTTTTGGCCAAAAACTTCTCCGCAATCATGCGCATGGAAAAGACTTGATCTGTACACCCCATTCCCTTTCTAAAACCCGCTTGCACATCCCAAATTTTTCCATCAGTTTCTTTCATAACTCTTTCAATTAACACCTTAGCATACAGTTTACCCACAATACTAAGCAAGCTGATACCGCGGTAGTTTTTGCAGTCCTGCTGTGACCCTTTTCCTTTATATATTGTACTATAACTGCTTTACACCAGTCATCCGGTACCCGTTTTAATTCCCAAAATAAATTAAACAAGGTGTACAGCAGGCCTGCCACCACTCCCTCTCCAGCCCTTAGCATCTCGAGTGATACTCTATCATATCCAGCTGCCTTACCTGCTTTCATGCTTTTCATTGCTTTCATTATTTCATCTACACTTATCTCCATACCCCTTTCCACTTCTTTCGGAATTTCTAGTTCATTTAATTCATACGACTCTTCACTCATAAACACGCTTTCAAAGTATTCCTTCCATCTGTTTAAATTCGAAACTTCATCATTCAGAATACATCCATTCTCGTCTCTTATAGCATTTATTATAGGCTGTTTTGTATTTCCCCTGGCAGTTCTTACGAGTTTCCAGAACATTTTTATGTTAGCCTGGAAATTATCAGATATCCTTCTATCATTCTTATCCGTTCTTTCTTTCTTTTTCCTTTCAACAACTTCTTTTACTCTCTTATTTAGACGTCTAAATTCTGCCTTTTTTCTTTCAATCTCATCATTCATACCAGAAGAATTATCAGCTTTGGTTGCTAGTAAATCTAACCATGCTTTCTTCTTTGATTCAACTTCCACCCGTACCTCATCATCCCACCATAACGTATTACTTTTCCTTTCATTTGTTCTCTTACTTACACCGCATACTTCGGTGGCGGTATCCACCAAACCTTTCTTAATATTATCCCACACAGTATTCAAGTCTAAATCATTCATACACAACTCATTCAAACATCTAATATTTTCTCTCAGTCTACATTTATACTTCTCTATCACATCTTCATCTTGTAACTTCTCTATTCTTATACGCTGTAACGCAGTGGTAGATACAGATGTCCGATGCCGCCAACGCTTGAAAAGACCATTAATTCGACATAAGACCAAGTAATGATCCGTCCCTACGTTGGACCCCCGGTAAACCCTTGTATCTACGACTGCGCTCCTCATTCTTTCATCCACAATTACGAAATCTATCATGCTTCTATCATCACCTCTTTCCCATGTATACATGTGAATCTTCTTATGACGAAAAAAAGTATTCGTCACAAAAAGATTCTTTTCCGCACATACGGTGAGGAGGTCTTCACCATTCTCATTTATACTTTCATCACCAAACGTTCCCAATATCCTTTCATAACCAGACCTCTTCACCCCAACCCTTCCATTAAAGTCTCCTAACATAATAATATTTTCATTTTCCTTACATTTTGTCAACACCATCCTTACCATGTCCCAAAACTGCTCTCGGATGTAAGTGGGCTTAGACATGTCTGGGGCGTACACCCCTAACAGGAACAGCTTCTTTAAGCCCACTTTCATTCGTATCCATAGCAGTCTCGGGCTTACACATTCATACTCTTTCACACATTGACCCATTCTTTCTGAAAGGATGAAACCGACTCCCTGGCATGCTCGTTCGGTCTCGCCTACACCAGACCAATACGCGGTATACGTGCCATGTGCAGTGGCATCCATTCCCTTTCGTTTCGTCTCATTCACACATAACACATCTATTCCTCTGTCATTCATCATTTCGCATACTTCATCCATCTTATCATTCATTCCTCCACATACATTCAGCGTAGCCAGACGGGTTTCCGCAATCCACTTTTCGCCCCTCCGGGAGACAGAACGTGACGGGTGGCGAACCTCGTCGCCGGTTTTTCTCCCGGAGTACGTTAAGTACTTCATAAATTTTGCCAATTTTAGTTAAAATTATTGAACTATATAAGCGAGGTGTCGCGCGGCTCAGACGCGTGATATACGCGGGTGAAACCGTGGGGCACAGCTAGTATTATATAATAGATATCATTATCTACATATTACTTCAGCATGTTTTTCATCTTTACTCCTTCTGGTGAACAGAGAGCACGAGGGATCTGTGACTGCAAACACCTGGCCGCTGAGCTTCAGCATGTCAAGCCGGTTTCTGCACGACAACATGCTTCGGATCCCGCGCCTACGTCACAGTAAACGAATGAAGCCGGCCCTAAGTCGAGCGTGTGCCTGCTGTACTACCATATGTCAGAGGTGTCACAGACAAGATTGACTACATCTTGAAGCGAGCTTCTATTAGAACATTCTACAAGCCGCCGAAGAAGATTAGTCAGTTCTTACCATCCGTCAAGTGTCATATTCCTCTACAAGATGCAGGAGTGTACAAGCTTGATTGTGAATATGTTCTCTCATATATAGGGCAAAGGAGCAATTAGAAACCACGTAAGAGAACACACAGTTCCGGGAAGTCTGCAGTTGGTTATCATGTCCTAGACGGCCCCGACCATTACATCAGATTTGATAGACCACAAATCCTCGCAAAAGAACATCGATTCCTACCAAGGGTGATACGTGAGGCTATTGAAATTAAAAAACATCCTCATTTCAATAGAGAAGGAGGCTGGGTACTACCACCTGCTTGGGACTCTATAATTAATAAAATTAAAACTAAACCCAAGCATACCACTGCGAGACTTCAAAACACAGTAAGTTCATTCTGCGTAGATAGGACCAAAAACAATAATTGAAAAGCTGAAGGTACTTCGGGTTATTATATACATTGACATCGGGACGTCAGTCACCTCAGTCCCCCGTGACCATGGGGGCTGGAAAGCACCCGAAACGTCGGGTTTTAAAAATATAAACGAGATAAAATCCTTAAAAGTAGTTTTAATCAACATATTTTTGTTGTTATCCAGTAATTTAACAATAATAATTTAAAGGTAAATAATGTACAGAATTTATTTATATTATTTGATTAAATATGTTAAGATACGGTAAGTTCATATTAACAGGTGTTACCCGTTACAAATCATATTATGTAATGCTACATTTTATTTTCAGATAATATTAATACGCGTCTACTGAAATAATGAAATTAAATGTAAATAATATGCACTTGTAACGAATATTAAATAACCGTTTACTGTGGCCGTATGAGGAATCTCAAGTCACTCTCAAAGTTACTTAATTTCCTTCGAATTGGCTTTGCTTGGAAATTTTTTTACCAAAGCCACTCATACGGCTACCAGTAATCTACGGCCATGGTATCAATATGTCACCACCAGTTGTACCTTGTTTTCAGATTATGGGTAATACGTCACAAGAAGATGCGTTTTTAATTTTTTACGAATACTTTCATGAAATGCATCATAGTGACTACTTTTAACCGACTTCAAAAAAGGAGTAGGTTCTCAATTCAACTGCAATTTTTTATGTGTTGTTACCACTTTATTCTTGGTGAACCGTTTTTGATGATCCTTTTTTTATTTGAAAATTGGTGCTTTTCATGTAGTCTCATATAAATTTGATCAAAATCTGACCAGTAGTCTTGAGTTATCCTCAAAAATGTGTATTTAATTGACTTCGACTAAGTCGATGATGTGCTCATTTTATTTATATTCAAGTGGGTTGCACAAATTTTTATTTTTACCACTTGCTTTATCGTTTAGTACAGCTTATCTTTAGATACGTTTGCTCTATTGTTATAAGTTATGCTTAATGGTAACCTTAGACCCACTATAGTGGCACTAAGGTTTGATACCCTTCAATCCCCATAAAAAATCCCATGCAGTCGCATGCGTCCGTCAAATCCCGAGCGGTCGCATGCTATCGGACCCACCCACAGCACTTTAAACCATTAAAACTTATATTTAAAGATTACTTTTCTACGAAGAAGTTTGGCATTATAAAATCTATACAAAATTCTCTATCCTGTGTTTTTTTTATAGAAGAGGGGGCAAACGAGCATGCGGCTCATCTGATGTTAAGTGACTACCGCCGCCCATGATCAACCGCAACACCAGGGGAATTGCAGGTGCGTTGCCGGCCCTTTAGAAAGGAGTAAGCTCTTTTCTTGAAGGTCCCCAGGTCGTATCGGTCAATATCCACCTCGTAGGAGGGAGTTTGCAACAGTCACCACGTGTAGCAGGCGAGCCGGTAACCGATTTTTTTTATTATTTTCTGTTGTTATCGGAACGCACCATTTAATCTCCTGTTTCAGTTTTACTCTATCACGTTTTCATCCAAGAGATGACATAAAAGTTTCAGTTAATAGTCGACGTATATATAGGGCTATACGTCCCACAGCTGGACATAGGACTCCTCTCATTTCTGAACGGGTGTTAGGGCAAAGAAATACACACCGCGCTGCTCCAATGCGTGTTGACGGATTTCACATGTCTTCGAAATATATATTTTTTTGTTTACGGGAAGACATAGGGCAGTGAATTGTATGTAAGTAGAGAATATCTATAAATTGTTTGGCCATATACTCGTATACTCGTCCCTCTTTCGAAATCGACCCTGTATGTGTTAAACTTCTAATTTCGATGGTCGTGATTTTGAATTAATTTAGGTAGTGTCGCGATTATGCCTCATGCTTTCAACTAAATCCAGTCTACCTCTAATCTTATTCATCAGCGTTACATCAAATACACGAAAATTATTACAAGTGAATGCCTCCGTATTAGTCCGTAAACATTGCGACACTCGTGCTTAGGATCTTCCATACATACTAATATCATATATTATTACACCGGTGTACTAATATTGAATAGAACTTTAATTCGGATTGAGTTATTTTTGTTGTATTTTGATTACAAGAATATACTGGGTTATTTTTCCCGTCTGTAAAAAAATAGGGTGTAACAGGTGAACGGAAAAGAAGCGTGTGGCATTGATATTTTACATTTTTTTTATATTACATTAACATATTATGAAATTAATTTTGAAATAAACTTTCGGTAGGTACTAAAAAAAATAACAACAAAATTTTAGAACAAAATAAATAAATCAATTGAAAACTATTGAAATAAAAATAAAACGTAGCCAATTATAGTAGTATTTATTGATACACCAATTTCATAATATGATAATATAAAATAAAAAAGTATCAGTGCTAAAGGCTTCAATTCCGTTCACCTGTTACACCCTATTTATTTCCAGACGGTAAAAAAATCGTCCAGTATATTGAAAGTAATTTAAGATTTTATTACTGGTTCGAAAAAACCACTTCCGTGGGCAGAACCAGCAATAAACCCAGCGGGACTTTTATTAAAACATTTATTTACAATGTATATGCTTACAGTATAATATGAAAACATTTAGAAATAGCATGGTAGCGATCACCTCATTCCCAGGAATTATTATCAATTATGTTCTTTTTAGTAGTACACTAACCCTTATGAAATAATGTTTGCTTAGTAAGAAATAAAAATTTAAATTTTTTATAAATTAATCCTGTATATTTTCTGGAAGTTTGTTGAAAAGCGTACACATTACCCCATGAAGGAATTATTGGCTATTAGAAGTAGAGAAATTGGTAAAATTACTAAAATGTTAATATACTATATAACATTATATAGTATATTATATTAATAGATTATATAATGTATAATCGGGAGCAGCTCCAAATCCAGCCTTGGCACCAAAAACGAATAATTTTTTCATAGTAATCATAAGTTTTACGTGAAAGATACCTAAAATAGAAAATTATTTACTACACAAAAACTTTTTTTGGACGACACCATTTTGCATACAAAATATAAAATAAAACTGGAATATTAAAATTTTCGATGGTTCGACGCAACAAATCGTTATGGACACCTAAAATGTGTAAAAAGGTCTTGTTACCATACAAAGTGTTTAGAGGATGAGTGTTTCGTCTAGAAAAACTTGAGCGAAACAGAAAATTTGTATGTTTTGTAGTCTTTTTGAAAGTTTACTAAAAATTATTAAGAAAAATAATAAATTAACAATCAATTTTTCATGTAATTTAAGAATAAATAACATTTTTTTCTAAAATGTTTATTCAAATGCCAGTGACGTCATCATATCGCTTTTGTAACACCACCACATGGTGAAATGTTAAAACACTCATGTTTACGTTGTCAAAATAAAAAAAAATATTGTCATTGCATAATACAGTCATAACAACACATACAATATCTGTTGTTATGACACATGGTTCTCGATAGAGACTAGACAGTAGACAGTAATTGTGTTCTGTGAACATGGTGAATCCAAATATGAAAATACAAAAGAATAGCATGGTTTCGATTGGCTCACAGCCGCAACGGATATAATGACGTCACAACCAATCACAATTCGTTTTTTTTGAATCAATATTTCACTATTTTTTATTAATAAGTACTAGAAAAATTGAATTATTAGTAAAAAATAATCTAATATACTTTAAATGAGTCGATCATTCATTTATATATAAATTTGTAGCAAGAAAATCATCCAAAAACAGCGTATGCACAGATTAAGCAGACGATCGAGCTTGCTATGCAGCTCTTCAGTTGGTAGTTCTTGGTATATTGGTAGGCGACATCGGTATAGTATAAAATAGGAAACAAAAAAGAATTGACTGACGTAACTTTGGCCGTCAAGGAAGTAATTTTTTTGTCAATGTTTCTTTTAAGGGCTTTTTTGGGGGGTTTTTTAATTTTTTGGTTTTCTAAAAATGTATCTACTAAACTAACTTGTAGTTACTGAAGAGGATTTGGATCAGCTTTTTAAACAGCAAAACGTATTAGCTACTGAATCAATTGCTAACAACGCTACAACTTCTAAGGAACAACTAACTATTGAACCAAATGAAGATAACACTTCGACTTCAGCTATTTTAACACATGAATTATCAGCTGAACCATCTGTTGCATCAGAAATTGAATCGGTTGTGAGAGTACAGGAAATGATTTGTATTGTTTGTGGACAAGAATCTACAGGAGCACATTCATGTGACATTTGCGGAAATGCCGTTCATGCAATATGTGGCATTACGACAAGCGAAGAAGGATATAGGTCGGGAGTTCTATGCTTATTATGCCAAAAAGAAGAGAACATTAAAAAGCAAAGGGAAGATGCCTTACAAAATTTAAAATATCTGCTGCTAAAATGAAAGAAACTTGTTCGAAGAAATTCAAGAATGTATTAGTTGGTTCCACCGTTTTGGTTGATGTACTAAAAGTAGACAGAGGTCCACTAGATGCAAATAGTATTACAGGGATTGTATTAGATACGAAAAACAATTTATTTCAAGTCGGTACTTCAGTTGGCATCATAAGAGATTGGCTTCCTAGAAACGCTCTTCAATTTTCTACAGTTACATTAACCGATTCAGTTCCATTTTTTTTTATAGAAGAGGGGGCAAACGACCATGCGGCTCACCTGATGTTAAGTGACTACCGCCGCCCATGATCAACCGCAACACCAGGGGAATTGCAGGTGCGTTGCCGGCCCTTTAGAAAGGAGTACGCTCTTTTCTTGAAGGTTCCCAGGTCGTATCGGTCCGGAAAAATCGCTTGTGGTAAACTATTCCACAGGGAGGTTATACGCGGAAGAAAACTCCTTTTGAAACGTACAGTGGTGGACCGCCAAGCATCCAGATCATGTGGATGGTATCGCGACGTTTGCCGCGTAGTGCGTTCACGAAACTTGGCGGCTGTTATTAATCCGAACAATTCCTCAGAGCACTCTCCATGGTATATGCGAAAGAAAATGCAAACAGATGCAACATCTCTTCGCAGTGCCAGTGAATCGAGCCGATCGGAAAACACTCGGTCGTCGACGATTCGAGCCGCTCTGCGCTGGATGCGGTCAAGTGGAAGAAGAATACTGGGGAGCCCCAGCCCAGAGATGGGAACAGTATTCCATGTGCGGCCGAACCTGCGCCTTGTAAAGTTGCAGGCGGTGTGCCGGCATGAAATACTGTCCCGCTCTGCTGAGCACGCCAAGCTATTTAGAGGCCAATTTGGCCTTCCCTTCCAAGTGACCACAAACTGCACGTTGCATGCATGCATTTAAATGGAAGGAGCTGGCACTGTGGTGCCCCGGTCCAGAGATAAGAACAGTATTTCATGTGAGACCAATCTGGCCTTCCTTCCAAGTGACCACGAAACTGCACACTATTCGATATGTGGACGCCGAGGATTCCGATACTGACTGAGGCAACAAGGGGAGTGCCTTGAAACTGAGGAGATACGACAAAGGGGTTCTTTTTAGCGGTTAACGCGCAAACTTGTGTCTTCTGGGGGTTAAACTGGACTAGATTTAGTCGCCCCCAATCCGAGACTCTGTTCAGCAAAGACTCGACTTCAGACACAAGTTTGTCCCGGCACTCGGAGACGTTTTCCCGAGAAATATTGGCTCGGCCGGTGTAAAGAGCATGACCAGTGCTGTCATCTGCATAGCAATGAATGTTACGGGTTTGCAACATATCATTGATATGCAGAAGAAACAGCGTTGGCGATAGCACGCAGCCTTGTGGAACACCAGCATTAATAGACTTGCAATCGGAGCTTGCACCGTCTACAACGACCTTGATGCCCCGATCTGCAAGAAAGCTGGTGATCCAATCGCACAATTTCTCGGGAAGCTCATAGGAAGGGAGCTTCGAAAGAAGCGCTTTGTGCCAAACCCGATCGAAGGCCGTTAATCCATCGACTAAGCTGAGTTTGCGTGAAATTGCAGGAAAATTATCTTTATTTGGAGGTCAAGGCTTCAAACAATGTTCTTGTCAAGAGTCCAAAATACGATGCAAAACGAATAAATGTGCCTGTAAGAAAAATGATGTTCTGTGTAATTCACGTTGCCACAAATCTGCTACGTGTTTTAATAAATGAATATTACAAATACGCATATCATACGTTACGTTTTTCTATTTTTTATTAATTTTTGTTTCTCTTTTTTCAAATAATTATGTTCTATTGATGATTTTTGAGATCAATATTGCATTGTGCTATACCTGATTATTATAATTATGTAGGTAATCTTACAAAATAAATCTTTAAAATACCACAGAAAAGTTATTTTTGTCATTTCACTGAACCAACTTTGGGATTTGTTCAAATCACTAGATTTATTTAGTGGGATTTGTCAAATCACTATATTTCCTTAGGGAAATGATAAAATCGTTATTTTAACATCCTCCGTGATTTGATCGAATCCCTTAGGGATTTAGTCAAATCCCTGTTTTTATCATATCCCTGCGACATATACACATAATATGCCACGTTATCACTTACACATATATTTTCAATCAATGAGGACATCAATGCCTATTTCTGTCACCTGATTGGTGACACATAAGAATAAGGTGAAATTTTTGAGATATTTCATAGCAAGGGAAGTTAAATTGTTAGAAAAGTGTAGAGATTAATGTTTTCATAATTCTTAATTATATTTCATATTAATTATATTAGAAATGGATATACAGAACTACGGATATTACTAAAAGTAGACGACAAAAAAGAGTTAAAAATGTACTAAAGAATAACAGCACTGATGCATTATTTTGTGTTAATAACCGAAACCGTTTTATTATAAACGCGGCTTTTCAATGATGATAACAATGTGTGACTATCTGCGTAAAACTAGCATCTAGTGAGCGTAAGAAGCCCTCATTCGCATAAACCATTCCTTGTTACGCGCTTTTTGATGTTTCTACCGATCAACATTACAGCCACAAGTGTGGGGCGCTGGCGTCGCGCCACAAGCGAAACACATCGGAGCCTAAATCGCGCTATCAAAGTTTCGAAGTAAAACAGTATATATACAATAGCTCTTAAATGTTACATGAGTTAATATTAAGAGCAACTGTCATTAAGACACTAGTTTCTTCTTTACAGTTTGCGTAAGACCTATCATGTCCTACGGCAAGCGTAGCCTTCGCAAACTTAGCTCATATAAACGTTTGATCGTCCTACAAGTCGTTCAAAATTGGTTTATTCGCATCGCCACCCGGAGCCCCTTGTGGTACCAGCGAAACTCGGATTTTTTACATTTTACACAATGATTGTCAACTTCCGACGGGAATGTCTGGGCTATGGGGCGTAAAGGTAAGGAGTACAGACTGTGTATTAAAAAGTGTCCGTTGAAAACCGTTAAATAAGTGTGGCGCCACTATAGCTACGGGGCAAATTTTAAAGAACGTGCCGAAAAATATTATTGGGATAGACAACTTTTTCGAGATTATATTTACTAAATAAAATTATTTTAGATTTTAGAGTAACTGAGCAGTTTAGCAGTACACTTCACACCGTCGACAACTGCTAAGTTCATTTCATGTAGCTGTTGTTAATTCGATACTTCATATAGTAGGGGGCTAGGGGGCCACCTTATACTTCGGCTACGGGCACGAGACTGCCACTCGAGAACCTTTATTCCCTACCAGTTGTCGGTTCTACGAGCTATGTGTCCGGCCCATAGCCCCTTGAGCTTACTAATTCATTGGGCTATGATGGTTACTCTGGTTCTACTGAGGATATCCTCATTCCTAAGTTTGTCACATAGAAAAACTCTGAGTTTAGCCATCTCCACTGCTCGCTGAGCGGCCTTGAACTTCCGCATACGGCCAGCAGTGCAGGACCACGTTGTGGATCTATAAGTCATAACTGGCAACACGCACTGGTTTTATAATCTTGTTTTCAAGTTTGGTAGTCGAGAGAAGATGCGTCGTGATCTTCCGAACGCTGCTCAGCCGAATTGAATCCGTCGAATGACCTCTTGGTCGAAGTTGGACTTACCTGGTTGGACTATTTATCCTATAAAACATACTTGTCGATAACTTCGAGATGATTTCTTCTAATGTACGTTTCGAATCAATTACTTCGCTAAACAAGCGTTCGATATTTTATGTGATTAACGTGAATTGGATTAAAATGAACTGTTACGGGTTTTAGTGGCCATATAAAAACATCAGTATTTCTAGTATTGCCTCATACGGGACACGGTGAAATCAACAATGAATTGGTTCTTATTGCTCTGCTCCATAATCACTCTGCTGTACCCAATCTTGGTAAGTATTACTTTTATCTTGATATATTACTGTGTGAATTTGTTGGCACCTTCCTTGTATAAACAGAGGTAATTTGTTATGATCCCAACGCATGCCTAGACGTCCTAGTACCTTTGTAACTATTTAATGTTCTGCATTCAATTCAGCAGCACAGACTAACTTTAAATTTTGAGAGAGTTTCTGAAGCAGAAAAATGTCCATCGCGCTGCCCTCATCTTAATACCAATCGGCAGATCTCAAATCATGTTTAATATACTCGTAATATTTATGATTACTTTGAAATGCTGATTTCAGACGATGTTTTCATTTACCTTCTGATTCACCACGTGAATTAACACTCAGAACTGATATTAACAATTACAGCAGTACGGATTGGGATCGACTCAGTCGGCTCACCAGAGCTATCATCGCGTTATTGTGAAATATACTTTTTAAATTTTATTAAAGAAAATAGCTTTTTTTTTAAATTCGGATAAATATTTTTATATTAAAGCCTATCTGAAAATTTCACGTCCGTTGTAAACAGAGTGGTTATACTGTGCATGATTCTTAGGATTTCGTGCTATTTACAAATAAAACGGGCTACACACGAGACGATATCAGTGGCGATCTAGGGTGGAAAGAAATCGGGGCTTTTATCGGGGCAGACCCTACACACGGGCCTGCCTAGCAGTACGCGTTCGGACTTGGAGCGGAACACATATGCGGTAGAGTTCTTCAAAATAGCTTCAACTCTCTTAAAACACCAATGTATTGGTTTGGCATTAGCCCTCTCGGTAAATTTATTCGAAAATAGAAAAAGAGGAGTTGCTGGGTGAAAAAATGGCTCCAAAAGAGACAAAAATTAAGCCACATAAACGTACTAAATGATCTGTATTCCAAAGACATGATTAATTTTCTCCGGATGGATGAAGACAGTTTTTATAACCTTCTAGAAATGATTTCGCCACTTATATAAAAACATCAATTTCTCCTATGTACCTATGCTATTTAGTTATTTCTTCTCTTTGTTCATTTCTGCTTTGGTCAAAATCTGGTTATGTATTACACACAACAAACAAGGAAATAAAATACTTTTGTATAATAATATGTATACTTTTTTT